TATTAAAGCAATATGAATAATTATTATGCATAAATCATAGGAGAGAGAACATTTGACTTCGAAAATAGAAAAGCAAGTAAAGTGACGCAAGAAGTGCGATTTTTTCTACAACTAGAAACGAACCGTGTTTACTGATTGATTTAGCGGCTAAAATACGAAGATATATGCAAAGTTTCGTTCTTGCACGAACAGCAGTTAATGCATTAACAACTTAAATACTAAAAAACGTATGTTAAAAAACAAATCAATTTTTTCACTTTTTGCTCTATTACGGTCCGAAGTATTCGCTTTGATTTTATCTTTTCGTAATGCTTTTGTAAAGTAATATGTCCCTTTCATATGCGATGTGAACGAACCCTAACAGTCAGGCCGTTTCTGAGACCACAGCGATCATTCAGTACAATGTCAGATTCTTGTGGAGGTGGATCTGTTGAATTTGGATATTTTCGTGGTAAATAGTATTTCACTTGACCATTACAATTGATAGCTTGCACTTTTCCTAAGAAATCTCTCAATGAAGTTTGTTTACCATCTTGTAACGAAATTACTATTTGCCCAATTTTAAGTCCTAATGTGTCTGCAAATGATGTTTTCTTGGATGGATCAGTTTTAGCAACACATAACCATAGCTGATCAGACGATTGCTTCCTAGGCGATCGTCTAGGCGTGAAATCGTTTTTAGCTGATATCGCTAATAATGCGTTTCTGTGAAATGTTGAGATTACAGTCGTACTTAGCAGAGCTGATTTCACCTTCTTAGATGGCTTTTCGGCAGTTTTTGAAAACATAATTCTCCACTTAACGCTTCAGAATTTAAGGAAAATAAATTTTATTCGATTTTGGCGATGCTTGAGATTCAAATTTTTTCTCACTCAAATTCATCAACAAAAAGTTTGGTTTTCTATGTTTCTAGAAGATCAGAATTTGCTTTTCCAACGGAAAAATAATTAACTTTTCAGTACATCAGGAACATGTAGAAATAATGCTCCACATTTGTCAAATTACTTTTGCATCGTAGGTTAGTAGCTTAGAAACCACAGAGACAAAAATAGTAAAAAATTGCTCAGAGTCCTTACAAACGACAATAAGAATAACATTGCAAGAAACTTAAACATTGTATACAGCTGAAATTGATAACAGACGCAGATTCACAGAGCACAGATTCTGTTTGCAAGTTGAATAACGAGAAAAAAAGCATTTTTAAGAGGACAAAGTTTTCTTTTGAGCTGAATGCCAAGTAAAAGCAACAAAATGTATACAACTTTGTTGAGCATAAAAAAATGTGAAAAATGTTAGATGGACGTCGTTGACGGAAGCCTTCAACAACGTATTCAACCACAGTAATGACTGACATTTCATCAACCTTTTCGATGCTTCCATCAAAAGTACGTTTAGCATATTCGGCAATTATCGCAGGCCAGTTGCTACTTTTAATTTTTCTTTTTGTGTTAATTGACACAATTTGTTGTTTGTAATATAATGTCAATAAAGCGGCTGTATGTGTAGCTGCTTTTTGCAATTCTACGATACTACGTTCCACCTCCACCCTCAGTAATTAATTTTTTTCTCAGCCAGATAATGTCAGTAAGCCGAAAAGCTTAGAACATATACTTCGAGGAATCCTTTACAAACTGGGTACCCAGTCAGGCATCGTCATTCCAGAAAAGTGCAGGAAACTCTGTTAACTAAAAATTTTACGCGTTTAGCGAGTTTCGAATAATATAACGCGCAAGAAGCTGCGAGTATGTAAAAATAAACTGCAAGAAACGCACGCTGCCGTGGAAACAAAGGCTTTACACGCGTATTCCGGCGTTTTATTTTTACATACTCGCAGCTTCTTGCGCGTTATTATTCGAAACTCGCTAAA